CCGGCCGTGCGCCCAGCGTCGGCTCCCCAGTAAACACCTGCCCACCCCCAAGTCCTGAAGCAGCGGGAATCTGTCTTTGATGCAGGCAGGATATCAGGGTAGATGGGCCGGTTGCTCTGAGCTGGGACAGCAGCAGGGAGCGTGGGGAGGGATCCTCGGTTGGTCGATTGGGGACCAGGGAGGATATACAGGGCTGGGTTGGCCCATTGGTCTGACCTGGAGGGGAATACAGGGCTGGGTAGGAATATGGGACTGGATGGACCCATTGGTCTGACGCGGGGGGGAACACAGGGCCGGGGGTGGGGTCCATTGATCTGACGTGGGGGGGAACACGGGGCCGGGGGGGGTCCATTGATCTGACGTGGGGGGGAACACGGGGCCGGGGGGGGTCCAGTTGATCTGACGTGGGGGGGAACACAGGGCCGGGAGGGCCCGATAGGGCTGATCGTCGGGGCAGTAGGGGGAAGGGGGGAGATTACCAGCCCCATGGTGGCGGCTGGCAGCACGGCGCTAACCCTCTGCCCCGCACTCCCTGCAGGATTTCCAGAAGGTGGACCTGCTCCTCATCATGGGCACATCGCTGCAGGTGCAGCCCTTCGCCTCCCTCGTCAGCAGGTGGGTGGTGCTCCGGGGCCGCCTGCCAGGCCCCTGGCTGTGGGTTGCCCCCTCCTGACCTCCCCTCTCCTTGTCTGACGCAGGGTGCCCACAAACACCCCGAGGCTGCTGATTAACAAGGAGAAGACGGGGCAGGTGAGGTGCCCGGGAGCTGCGGGGAACGAGTGCTCGAGCGGGTACTGACTGGCAGGGACGACGCCACCCTGCCGGCCTGACGTGCTTGGCTGCATCCTGCCAGGGGAAGGGGGTGGAATTAGTGCTGTTGGGGGTGGGAGGGAGGCAGTTGTGATGCCCACCCTCCCTCCCCCCCCCCCGAGTTTTTTTCCCCCACCCGTGCCCCAAAATCTTGGGCGTCCACCTAGCAAGCCCCAGGAGAGGAGTGGGGGCACGGTTCAGGGTTTCTCCAGGGGGCTCATATAATCTCCCGGTGGACCCCAGGAGCCCCCACCCCCCCTGCAGCCGCCTGGGAGCCTGTCTGTCCTCATCGGTGGTCTGTCTTGTCTGCAGAGTGATCCCTTCATGTCCCTGATGGGCCTCAGCACCGGCATGGACTTCGACTCGGAAAAGGCCTACAGGCAAGTTCCCTGGGGACAAGGGGCCAGGGCGGGTCGCACAGCCCACCCTGAGAGAGGGGTGACGGTCAGGGATGGCCTGTTCCGTTGCTGGGGGGCAGGGCTGGGTCCGCCCAGCTCCTGGGGTGGAGGGACAGGAAATGGGCTAATGTTTAGGGCAGGGGATGGGGGGCCAGGACGCCTGGGTTTTCTTCCCAGCTCCGGGAGGGGAGTGGGGTCTAGTGGTTAGAGCAGGAGGGCTGGGAGCCAAGACTCCTGAGTTCTGTCCCCAGCTCTGGGAGGGGAGTGGGGTCTAGTGGTTACAAGAGACAGAGCTGGGAGTCAGGGCTCCTAGGTTCTGTCCCTGGCTCGGGGTGTGTGCGTGGGGGGTGTCTAGTGTTGAGAACCGGGCATGGTGAGAACTACGCCTCTTGGCTTCCTGCCCTGCCTTTGCCACTGAGTTGCTGAGACCTTGAGCAAGTCGCCCAACCCCTGTGTGCCTCAGTTTCCCCTCTGTAAAACCGGGCCAGTGATCCTTCACAAGGGGGGAGATCGCTGATGCTGAGAAAGCCCTTTCAGGTCCCTAGCTGATTGGCGCTAGAGAGAGGCAGCGGGCTCTTCCACCTCTAGGGCAGGTCATCCGAGATCTGGGGTGGGGGAGTTCTCCCCGATCACAAAGCCGTTTCATTAACACCTGCTTGTTGGCTTCTTCCCCCGCGGGGCTCTCCCTCCCCGCCCCAGGGATGTGGCATGGCTCGGGGAGTGCGACGAAGGCTGCACCGCGCTGGCCGAGCTGCTGGGATGGAAGGTATGGACTCCTTTCCTGTGTATTCCTGCCTCCCCGTGTCTACGCACCATCCCAAAGTCCTATGCACCCTCTTCTTAAGAGTCCAGGGCGTCAAGCCCAGGTGTCCTGGCTAGAATCCGAGCTCCGGTGACCCCATTTGCTTGGAGCTGCCTTTGCTCCGGGCCTGCTTAAGAAGTTGCCGCATTGCGCCCCAGAAGATGCTGTGTTTCAGCTCTGGGTGAGCGATTCACAGACATACAGTTGCCCTGCCCTTCCCCAGAGGTGGCTGCATTTCATAGGGGTGGTATGCGATCCCTATACAAACCGCTGCCGTGCTCTGCTCCAGAGTTGACTCCACCTCCGTGTTGGATGAGGGATCCCTGTATAAACAGCTGCCCCGCCCCACCCCAAAGGCGGCTGCGTCTCAGCGCCGGGTGAGGGATCTCTGGATACACAGTACGGCAGAGCGAGCTGAGATCGTGGAGGAGGAAAGCGCCTCTCTCAAGGACAAGGTGGCACAAATGGTGCCACCAGAGATCTTTGCTTTAGTCCCCTTCCCAGGGCAGCCAACTTCTCCCCTGCTCTGCCCCCTTGCTCGCCAGTCCCACTGCCCTGTGTTTTTGTGCAGAACGAGCTGGAGGAGCTGGTGAAGAAGGAGCACTCTGCCATCGATGCCAAGTCGGGGCAGGCAGGCGAGGCCGGGAGAAGCCCTTCCCCTCCCCCGGCTGGGGCCACGGCAAGCCCCTCCCCTCCCCCAGCGAAGCCGGGGTCATCGCCCCAGAAGGAAAGCGACGCCGGAAGCAAAGCGGAATGATGGAGCCCAGCCGTGGCTGGCAAGGGCCGTTAATTGGAGCGGATTAGAACTCACCACTGCCTGGACTGTCTCCCCCTACGAGGGGTGAGAGCCGTCTCTGATCTAAAGAGGGCTGGGAGCTGGGGTCACCCCAAGTTTGCAGCTCAGAGGGGAGGGGGGTCTGGGATCAGAGAGGCTGGGGAAGGGATGAGATTCAGGGGCGTTTGACTCTGGAATCGCCTATCCCGGGTGAGCAGGGGCTGCTCTGAATCATTTCGCGCTAACCACGTGTTTCGTTATTTCCCCACCGAGCGAGAATAACTGAAATCCAGGGCTCACGGAGAGCACCGCAAGAGAGACTTGCATTTCCTTTCTAATTCGTTCCCCCAGCTGGGATCCCGTTTCCCTCCGAGACCCATCTCGCTAACGTGCCAGGCCCCACACTTCCCGACAAGCGGCGCCAAAGCTAGTAGGTGCATTCGGGCTGAAAATCGAATACCGGCACGTTACGCGATTCCCCCCCTCCCCCCTGTGCTCGGTGTTTAATTTGGGTTAGTTATTGCAATGTATTAAGTATCCCTTGACTATTAAATTTTAGCATCTTGGAGGCAAGACTCGCGTTGGCTTTTGGGTCTCTCTCCCTCTGACGTGAATGTATAAAGGGAAATCGAATTTTGTGCAGAGCCGTAGATGGTCCTGGTGCTGTGGAGGTATTGGCCCATATTCTGTCGGTCTGGTGTAAATCCAGAATGACTCGCTTGACTTCAAAGGGTCCCTGTATAAACACCTGTCCTGCCCCAGAGGTGGCTGCATTTCAATGCTGACACCATCCCAGGATCCTTGTATAAAGAATTGCCACAACCTACTCTGGGGTGGTGTCATCTCAGTGCCGTCCTAGAGGGAATGGGAGGGGTGGGCGGCAGTGTTAGGCAGTGGCTTATGACAGAGACCCAGGTTCAATTCCTGTCTCGGCTGTGGACTTCCTGTGTGACCGTGGCCACAGGAAGTGGCCCTTAGCTGCTCCCTGCCTCAGTTTCCCCATCTGTGAAACGGGGATGGTAAAGCTGCAGGATAAATCTGTTCAAGAGGGTGAGGCGGGTTGAGATCTGGTAAAGAAGAAACAGGCATCGTTGCTGTTACTTATAGACGCACTGGTGCGACTGGGAGCGGATTTAGCCGAGATCAGAATCCAGCCCGAGTTTCCTTCCCCTTGTGGGACTCGTCCCGCTGGCTGCAGTGCAGACAGGCTCAGCCCCCGAGTCAGAGGTTTCTCGCCGGCAGGCGAGACCGTGGCCCTCTGCGCTTGGTGTGCGTCACTTCAGGAGGGCAGCTCTGTGTTTCTATCCCCATTCTGCAGGTGGGAAAATTGAGGCACGCAGCGGGAGGAGTGACTGGCCCCAGGTCAAATTGAGATTCAGTGGCAGACTTAAGATGAGAACCCAGAAGTCCCAGCTCCCGCCCTCCCCTGCTGTAACCACTAGACCCGACTCTCCTCCCAGAGCTGGGGCAAGCGCCAGCCGCCCTGCCTCTCCTCCGCCTAGGGTGCCAATGCTGGAGCAGGCCGGGCGAGCTCCTGTCAGAGGCAGCAAGACCAGGCGAGCGGCAGGGTTACGAAACCCCTTCGGCTGCAAGACCGGAACAGACACAAACCAAACAGCATCCTGGCTCGGCCTGCAGGGAGGGGCTGGGGGCTCTGGCGTCCCTTCCCAGCCGCGCAGGGACGGAGCCGGCGTCGAAACGGCTCGGGTGCCCGTGGCTGAGCTGTGGAGGGAAGGAGCAGGTACGTGCTGAGCCGCAGAAGGGAAGTAGAGCTGTCGTTGGCAGATAGGGACTAGTGATTAGAACAGGGGTGGGGGCTGGGAGGCAGGACACCTGGGTTCTGCCCCTGGCTCGGGGGGGGGTGTGCGTGAATGGGGCTGTGGGTTGGAGCAGGGGGCTGGGAGGCAGGACTCCTGGGTTCTGCCCCTGGCTCGGGGGGATGCGTGAATGGGGCTGTGGGTTGGAGCAGGGGGCTGGGAGGCAGGACTCCGGGGTTCTGCCCCTGGCTCGGGGGGGTGCGTGAATGGGGCTGTGGGTTGGAGCAGGGGGCTGGGAGCCAGGACTCCGGGGTTCTGCCCCTGGCTCGGGGGGTGCGTGAAGTGGGGCTGTGGGTTGGGGAAGGAGGCTGGGAACCAGGACTCCGGGGTTCTGCCCCTGGCTCTGGGAGGGTGGTGGGGGTCAGGACTGCTGGGTTCTGCCCCTGGCTTTGGGAGTGGGGATGAGGTCTCTGGGTTGGAGCAGGGGCGGGGCTGGGAGCCAGTTCTCCTGGGTCCTGCCCCCAGCTCAGGGAGGTGAGGGGGGCTATGGGTTGGAGCAGACCTGGGGCGCTCCCAAGTCTAGCTGACCGTGGTATTAGCAGTCGGGCTTTTGTGAGTATCTGCGGTGGTCAGACCGGGGCAGGGGAACTCTGCTTCCCTTCTGATCCGTCCCTTCCTGCTGCTGGGAAGGAAGAGCGCCCCCAACTGCACCCCCAGCCCCACTTACGGCCTCGGCCTCCCCCCCAGCCAGCCGATCTCACCCTGCAGACGGCTGCCCCTAATTCAGGCCGAATTCCCTGCCGCGGGGCAGTTGTAATTCACAGCTCTGCCTTTCCCCGGCTGTGCCCGATGCCGTGGGGCGAGCGGCTGGGCTGGGCCCTAGATCGCCCACCTTTGCCCCCTGTCTGGGTAACCGAGTGATTCCCCCTGGTGGAGGTGACGGGGAAGGACCACTCCCCCCTGCTGGGATAGTTCTGGGGGTGGGGTGGGCTAGAGTGTTTCCCGCTCTTCACCCACAGCCCAGCCCGCGGCCGGAGGCCGGCCCCAGCCGGTGGAGTTTTTAGCCGGGGAGGGAAAGCGGCGACGTGTTTTCCTGTCGCAGGCCGAGGGTGGGAGGAGACGGAAAGTTACCGAGATGCTGAGCGAGGGGAGAACGCGCAGGAGCACTGGGGGCTGGGGGGAGGGTTTGGATCAGTTGGGCCAAAGAGCCCAGTGCGGGCAGACAGCCGGGATACCAGGCTAGATGGGCCCATGGCTCTGATGTGGGGGGAGAAGAGCGATGGAAGGTCTGGGGGAATTGCTCCAGTAGCTCCTTCCCCCCCCCCCAGTCCCCCGTCCCGCACAGGCCCCAGCGCTCCCGGGGCCGGCCCCCACCTGAGCTTCGCTGCGTAGATCTGAACTCAGATAAAGGAGGCGCGGGAGGAAATGCGAAACGTGCACCCTGTGTGGGCCTCGCAGGCTGGGTCCCTTCTCACAGCATCCCTGCAGGGCTGTGCACCTGTCGGGATGGCCCCGGGCTCCCTCCGCAACAGCCCTGCCGGTGCCCCTCACTCCTGATCCCCAGCCCAGCCCCGGGCTCCCGCCCAGCCCTGCCGGTGCCCCTCACTCCCGACCCGCAGCCCAGAACCTGGATGCCGAAGAACCTGGCCCTTTTGCCCACGCTGTCCCGGGGGGAGTCGCCTGAGGGCACCCTGCCCGTGTCGCTGGCGCTCCCAGGTGCCAGAAGTGTGACACCCAAACGCGCCGGTCCCTCCCCCTCCTCTCTCGCCTTCACACCGCGCCCCGCGGCCTTTCCCCTCCGCCCGGCACGGCCCAGAGACCACGTGAAGGCTGCCGGAGGTATAATAACCACAGCCCTGGCATCGCAGCCTTCGCGATCACCTCCCCCTCGCGCTCGTCCTCGCCGGAGATCTCCCCGCCGCTGCTTCTCCCTGCCCCAGGTAAGAGCCCCCTGGCTTTGCTGCTTTCTTCCTTCGCTGGCTTTCTCCCGGCGGCATCCGGCGGCAAAGGCCCTGGGCTGGGCCCAGGTGCCCGGGAGATCTGGGTGAAGGGGTGTGGATCGTGGAAAGAGGGCCTCATCCGCAGCCCACGGGACTCCCAGTTGCTGCACTCGGGCATCGGACAGAAGTCTAAGCATCTCCGGCTGGGTGCCTACCAGCCGCAGGGCCCGTCATCCGTCGTACGGCCAGCAACACACAGCCCAATCTGTGGGGTCCGACATCTGTCAGCTCCCTCCCTGTAGCTCAGGCTCAGAGGCAGAGTGGCCCAGGGGGCTGGGATTCAGGAGAGCTGGGTTCTGGCCTCGGCTCTGCTGCGTGACCCCCGGCAAGTCATGGCTCCATGCCTCAGTTTCCCCTCCCACCCTTTGTCTATTGAGAGTGGAAGCTCTTTGGGGCAAGGGGCTATCTCTTGCCCTCTGTCTGCGCAGAAGCCAGGGCAAGGGGGCTGTGATCTTGGTCGGCATCTGTGCAGCGCCGGGGCCCTGATCTCAGCTGGGTCTGGGCAGCGCCTGGCGCGCCGGGGCCCTGATCTTGGCCGGGGACCTTTTGGTGCTACCATAATGCACCCAATAAATTCCAAACCAGTTGGTGAGCCCGATCTCACTCACGCCCCCAGAGTCTCTCTGGGCGCACGCTCACGGGGGAGGCGATGCTGAAACACACCCAGATGCCAGGGAGAGCGGAGGAGCTGAAATAGGGGTTGCCATTACCCAGTGACTAAGCCTGGGGATGATTCTGCCTCCCCTGATGACACGCTGGGCGGATTGAAACCAGCGCTGGGTTGGTTTTGAAGCCCGGTGGCCCCCTTTGGGAATATGGGCTTGCAGGTGGGAGGGGCGGGGTGGGGGGTTAAGGCTCCCTCGGGCTTGGCCGCGGAGCGAGCGCCCCAGAACTGGGCCCACGGAGGGGTCGGGAGGGGGCTGTTAACCTTTTACAAGCACACTCTAGAGACTGATGTGCCAAGGGGGACGCCAGGGAGTTTCAGGGGAGCAGGCGGCTCTCCGGGGCCATGGAGCCAGGACTCAGTTGCGGTCCTGTCCAGGGCAAGGCTGAGGGGTGTTGGCTCTGTGTCGGGGGGAGCTCCCGCTCCAGCAACCAACAAAGAACTCCAGTCTCCAGAGATGTCCATCCCCTATTTGATGTATGTGCCTGTAGCACTTAGAGGCCCCCGCTGGAAGCGGGGACCCCCATTGCACCCCAGGAAGAGCTAGGCCCTGCCTGGAGGCGCTCCCAGGCTGAATAGCCAATGCCTAGGACTGGAAAGTGTTAGGCCGGGTCCGATCTTACAAGGCTGTTATCCTGCCCGTGGGCAGTGGTAGCGCCACACAGAATCACGGTCCTCCAGAAACAGGAGGTGTGTGTTGAGGAGAACTGACCCCCAGTGACATACCCCAACACAGCTCGCGAGCCAGCTTTGTCTCTCTTGTTAACCAGGGGACAGGTCCCTGCTGGGACCTCTGTGCTGCACAGAGAGACACCTAGCGGCTGAAGGGGGTAATGCGAGTGAGAGGAACACTGCAGCAGGCAGGGGGGCAACACCCCCCCACAATGGCCCTTTATGCGTCCCCTCTCCCCCCATGACAAAGTTGTCTCCTGCTTGCAGAGGGATCTGGCACCTAAATGCATCCTGGGACACGGGTTTGCGAGCAAGCCGCCTCTGCTGATGGGTTAGTTACAGCTACTGGGCTATAAAGGATGCCTCACGTGTCTGCCGAAGAAGATGTCGATCCTTCGGGGGCTGGGGACAGTGATAACCGGTAAGCAAACCTCGAGACGGGAGTGAGTCTGTGTAGCCAGCCAAGCTTTGGACAGTGCATGTGTAACTACTGCCCTCTGCCGGATGGCACCAGGGCCGCTGCTGCGTGTCATATGCCCTATACTGCTCCCAGCCAATGGGGATTCTGCTTTAGCTCGAGAGTCAGGGGGTCTGAGCAAGAGGAGCTGGGTTCTAGCCCCCTTGGCGGGAGGGCTGGGGATTGGTCAGTCCCTGTGTGGGGTTGTGCTAAGCTCTGCAGCTTGTCCCAGCCCTTGCTCTGCTGTCTGGGACATCCAGCAGCAAAACTTTTCCTTCGGGGGGCCCAAGACGGGGGGTGGATGGGGACAGTGAGGCCAGGGCCAGACGGGGTGGGTGGGGGAAACTGAGGCCCGGGGCAGTGCCACGGATACGTTCCCTTCCTGGTTCGGTGCTTCCCAGCTCGAGCTGGGAGCGGGTTTGATGGGATTTCAAGATGTGTGGGTATGCAGGGCCCGGGGAGGGGGAGGTGTAGGCTGGGGTGCAGGGGGTGGTGTATGCATGCCCCCCCCGCGATTTACACACTTTTCAGGGAGCCCTTTGAATGTATGTTCAGGCCATTGGCTTCGGGGAAGCCCCCCCACGGCTGGGCCTTCACTTCCCCCCGAGTCCCTAGAGGCCTGGAAATCCGCCATGGGTGGGGCGGGGGAAGGAGAGCGTGGCTGGGTGGCTTTTTCAGCCGTTACAAAGGGTGTGTGGGTGGAGGGAGCCGTCACGTGGTGGAGCCGCGTTCCTTTCGCAGTGGGGCTGGGTAGGCGTCCCTCGCAGGAGGCCGGGGAGTTGTGTGTGTGTCCGTCCGTCCCACGCGCAGCTCGGCACCAAGAGAAGCGATTCTCTGTAGCTTCCGGCTCTGTTTGGCAACGTTTAGGGTCCAAGTTGGGGCCAGAGCAGCCCTGGGAAAGGGGGTGACCCTACAGTTACGGGGTGCAGAGAAATTTGGGGCCCCTGGTTCATCAGGTATGCTGGGGCCCTACCCCCCTGTTTCACCCCAGTTACAGATTTTTTGGGGGGGCTGATACTAGGGTCCCCCCCCCCCTGTCAGTCCCGATGGGGTGTGATATAAAATATTACAGTAGCCCCTAGACACCGCCACTCAGACCGGGGCACCTCTAATGTCAGGCACTGCAAAGAGCCCCCCAACTAAGATTGTCCCCCCCCATCATGCCAGGGCCTGGCCTGATCCCCCCACCACTTAGGTTGGGGGGGATCCTGTTATCCTGGGAGCTGCACTAACCCCCCTGACCAAGATTAGGGCCCCCCATCATGCTGGGCACTGCACAGACCCTCCCCAAGCAAGATTGGGGTCCCCCTGTCATGCCAGGTGCAGCAGCACCCCTTCCTTTCCCCCCGCTAGATATCGGGTCCCCCATTGTGCCCAGCACTGCACATGCGCATAATAAGAGACGGTCCCTGCCCCCAATGAGTTTGCCATCTAACTAGACAAAGGAGAAGGGGCGTGGCGCCTGTTTACAATTGGGGAAACTGAGGCACGGTGCGATGCCGTGCCTCACCCAGGGAGCTGGGGATTGACCCAACATGCCCTGAGTGCCATCCAGCGCCTTAAATGCTCGACCCGTGTGTGCATGTGTATTTCCAGTGGTTGCTAAGGTCCTTAGGGACAGATACAGTGCGGAGAGGTCTTTGCCTTGGGCAGGGGGGTAGAGAACACCCGCACCTCCTGATCTGAGGAGCTGTGGGGCTGGGCTGGGATCTCCTGTGACCAGCTAGAACCCAGGCGTCCGGGACACCCAGCCACGGCTTTTCATGCCCCGCTAAATTCAAGTACACGAGCGGGAGCCGGGACAGCGCTGCCGCATCGGCCAATGGGACGCGAGCCGGAGGCACCGCCACCCCCTCTCATTGGCCGGACGTACCCCCAAGGCGTGGCCGATGCCCACCCCCAGCTCAGTGCCTCTCATGTGTTTGCGTGCAGCCCCCAGCGCCTGCTACAGAATGGCCAGTGCGAGGCCCCGGCGGGAGGCCAGCCCCCGCCCCCCCTGACGCTCCTGGACAGGCTCCTGCTGACCCGGGGGCTCTGGCAGTTGCTCACCCTGCGCCCGGAGCAAGCCACGGAGCTGCTGAGGATGCAGCCGCCTGGGGTAAGTGGCTGGCCAGTGGGTGTGGGACCATGCGGGGCTATAAGGTGGCGACTGGGTGGAGCTCTAAGGTGGGTGTGGCTCTAAGATGGGCAGGGCTTTAAGCTGGAAGGTGGGTGGGGTCAGAAGGTGGGCGGGGCCATAAGGAGGCGGCTGGGCGGGGCCATAAGGTGGGCGGGGCCGTAAGGTGCCGGCTGGGGGGCTTGGGGCTACACCCTCCCCTTTTCCTCACTCCTGCCCCGTGGAGGGCTGGCACTGGGGTGACTAATGCCCTGGGGCTGCCATTAGCACCATTCCTGGCTGGCAGCGGTCAGACTGGGAACTGCAAGCTTGGGGACAAACCAAGGCCCTGTGTGGCGTGGCGAGAGCCAAACTGCCCCCCCCTCCCGTCTCAGCTGGGGACCCCACAAACTGGCCTGCAAAGCCAGACCCTAGTGCCCCACTGGCCTGCTCCCTTTCAAACCCGCCAAACTCTCTCCCGTCCCCAGACGTTCCTGGTGACCGGCACGGGAAGCGGGGAGCTCAAGGCGCTGTCGGTGCAGAGCAGCGGAGAGGGGCCCGGAGCCGGAGGCGTCTGCTGTTTCCAGATCAAGGAGGACGGCTCAGGTAGGTCAGGGCAGCCCCCGGGAGCCACATGTCTGGGCTCGTGCAGCGCGTCAGCAGAGCCAGGGATAGAACCCAGGAGTCCTGACGCCCAGCCCCCCGGCTCTAACCACTAGACCCCACTCCCCTCCCAGAGCCAGGGAGAGAGCCCAGGAGTCCTGGCTCCCAGCCCCCCGGCTCTAACCACTAGCCCCACTCCCCGCCCAGAGCTGCCCCCATCCCTGAAGGGCGCACCTCCCCCCATCACGCACCCACATCCCCTCGGCTAGGGTGCTTTTCACCCGACTTGGGGTGGGGGCAGGTTACTAGGTCTTTAAGAGTTGAGTGGGGTGGGGGTGGGGAGTCAGGAGTCCTGTCTCAAACCACTAGACCCCACTCCCCTCCCAGAGCTGGGGATAGAACCCAGGAGTCCAGACGTCAGTGCTTCCTGCTCTAACCACTAGTCCCCACTGCCTCGACAGCAGCTGGATGATACAACGGGCCCATAAAGTCCTGAGGTCTGTGACGTCGTTTCCTCCTGTGTACAAGAAAAGGGAAGGGCCCCAGCTCTAGCAAAAGCCCGGAGGGGGAAGGATCTGATGCCATGCTGGGGACCCCGGGGAGGGGCTGCGGACTAGACCCACCCACCTCCCAGGACGCAGCCGGCTGCTCCCGGTGGCAATGCTGCTCTGGGTTTCAGCATCAGCCTCTGAGCTTCACCCCTGCCCAGCTCATGCTTCTTTGGTGAGGTATGTGGGGCAGGAAAGGGCAGCGCCCAGCTAGGGAGGACTTCAGTCTAGTGGTTAGAATGGGGGGCTGGGAGCCAGGACTCCTGGGTTCCATCCCGGCTCTGGGAGGGGAGTGGGGTCTAGTGGTTAGAGCAGGAGGGGCTGGGAGCCAGGACTCCTGGATTCCATCCTGGCTCTGGGAGGGGAGTGGGGTCTAGTGGTTAGAGCGGGGGGCTGGAAGCCAGGACTCCTGTATTCTCTCCTCAGCTCTGGCAGGAGAGTGGGGTTAGTGGTTAGAGCAGGGGGTGGGCTGAGAGCCAGGACTCCTGGTTCTTTTTTCCTAATTCACTCTGTAGCCTTGAGCAATTCTGTTCCCCTCTCTGTGCCTCAGTTTCCTCCCTTTACGACATCTTAATGGGGAGGTTAAATCACCCCCCTTTTTAGGATCGATGGGGTAAACTGAGGCACGGGAAGATGGCAGCTGTTGGCCCAAGGTCATACAGAGGGCGGGAGCAGGGAAAGGGTTTGAATCCAGGACTCCTGGGTTCCCATTCCCAGTCAGCAACTCCTTTCCTTCTTCCTGGTAAAGGAGCCGAGGATGGATGGAACCCAGGTGTCCGAGCACCCTGTCCGGTGCTCCTGCCAGGCCTATGTCAAAGGTGCATCTGGCTTGACAGCCCAGGGGGCTTGCAGGTTGTGGACATCTCATGGCTGGGGGTGTTGGAAAGGTGGGGGACTGTGAATCTACTGGGGAGAGGAGGCAGCTGCCGGAGGTGGAGAAGGCGCAGTGTGGGGAGCTTGGCTTGGTGCAGAGCTGGCTGGGGGGAAACTGAGGCACAGAGCGATGGCTGATCTGGGCCCAAGGTCAAGCAGGTGGATAAAAAAATCCCCCCGCCTGGACTCCTGGGTTCCATCCCCAGCCAGAACCTCCGTCAGCCCCTGGGTTAGTGATATGAAGGCCCCAGCCGGGCCTGCGCTGGCCTCAGGGCAGCCTGTCGTAGCTTCCTCCTCGCTTCTAGGAAGAGTCGGGGCAGCTTATCTCTGCCGATCTCAGCGGACGCGTTCTGTGCCCGGGGCGGGGGCAGGTGGGGTTGCTCGGGGCAGTCCTGAAGGGAACAGACCGGGGTACGGCCACGCTGGAGCCAGCCAGGGCCTCGGGCTTGCCCCTGAGGGGTCGGTGTGGACCAGGACTGGGAGCATCAGGAAACAGCCGAGGCTTGTACCTGATTTAAAGGAGTGCCGGACAATGCCAGATAGTGGTTAGAGCCGGGGCGGGGGGGGCGGGAGGCTGGGAGTCAGGACTCCTGGGTTCTCTCCCCAGCTCTGGGAGGGGAGTGGGGTCTGGTGCAGAGGTTCTCAAACTCTGGTCCATGGCTAGTTCCCTCTAAGGGCCGGACTGGGCCCCTATTCCCTGGGTGGCCGCACATGAGAGAATGACGGGCCACCCAGCAGACACCCGTGTAAGGTGAGGTGGTGGCCTTGGGGGGAGGAGAGGGCAGTGGGGTAAGAAGAGGGGGTGGAGGGCATTTGGGACGTGTAGGGCTGCGGCGGGCAGAGGAAGAGGTGACTTTCCCCAGCTCCAGGGCTGTGGCTGCCGGGGAGAGACCCCCCTTCTTCCCAGCCCCAGCTGTGGGGCTGCCACGGCTCTGCCATGGACCCTCCGCGTCACCCTGCTCTAACCACTAGAACCCACTCCCCTCTGATTCACCATCGGGCACATGGGATCAGGGAGGGTTTTTGGCAGTCTGGTGCTATGGGGAGCACAAACTGGGGAGCGGGTCAGGCACTGGAGGCCTTGGCACTCAGATCCCCCCCGCCACACTCACACTTTGGAACCGACCTGACCCGTGACGTGCTCCACCCCAGAACAAGCCGCTTCTTAGGAGCTCAAGAGACTCTCCCAACTGGGGAAAACTTCCAGCTGGCTTCTGCTGTCAGGCGAGCCCCCCTGGAGCCCCCCCCAGCACCTTGGGGCCTGCTCTGTGTCTCAGACCCCATCTCTCTCTTTCTAGCTGTTTGCCTGGAAGGGTCCCAACTGCGTTTCCTGGGCCTACTGGAACTGGTTGCCTTCCTCTCCGTGAGCAGGTGAGCGGGGCTGGGGAGGGGGGGGGAATGGGAGGGGACAGGTGACACTTCCCCTGAGTCTCTGCTCTCCTGTCCCCAGGGCTGGGTCTTTGCCTCTATCAGTTAGAGGCTGGGAGCCAGGACTCCTGGGTTCTATCCCCAGCTCTGGGAGGGGAGTGGGGTCTAGTGGTTAGAGCAGGTGGGGCTGGGAGCCAGGACTCCTGGGTTCTACCCCAGCTCTGGGAGGGGAGTTGGGTCTAGTCCTGGCTCTAACCACTCCTGACTCCCCACCCCCACCCCACTCAACTCTTAAAGACCCGGTAACTTGCCCCCACCCCATTTCTGGTGAAAAGCACCCTAGCCGAGGGGATGTGGGTGCGTGATGGGGAGGTGCGCCCTTCAGGGGTGGGGGCATCCCCGACGTCTAGCCCAGCATTCGGGGAAGCGGAATTCATGGGCGCGGGCCTGGGTTTGAGGAAGCTGCGGGGGTGGGGGCAGGGTGGCCACGGTGACTTCCTCCTGCAGCTGCCCAGTGTGGGGCATGCCCCTCCCCCGCGGCACCCCTGCTGCTTCCATTTCAGGCGTCCAGGGGGGCTGGTTGGTGCCAGGAGGGCAGGGCCTGGCCGGTGTGAGCGTCCGGGCGGGGGCTGGATGGTGCCAGGAGGGCAGGGCCCTGGCCGGTGTGGGCATCCGGGGGGGCTGGGTGGTGCCAGGAGGGCAGGGCCCTGGCCGGTGTGGGAGTCCGGGTGGGCTGGATGGTGCCAGGAGGGCAGGGCCCTGACCGGTGTGGGCGTCCGGGGGGGCTGGATGGTGCCAGGAGGGCAGGGCCCTGGCCGGTGTGGGCATCGTGAGGGTCCTTGGTGCACTCCCCCGTCTCCCTGCAGCCCTCCGCTAACTGGCTCCTGGTCTCTCTTGCTTGCAGGGACGTGCTGCCCCACCCGCTGCGGCTCCCAGCTACCTTGCAACACCTCGGCAGGGCCGAGCTGGACACCTGCGCGGCCCTGGGCATGAGTGAGTGCCCGCCCGAGGGCGATTTCAGCCCCAGCCAGGGCCTCCGCGAGGAAGCCAGACACCTTCACTCGGGGGAGGGGGGAATGGGGTCAGGTCGGCTCAGTGTCCGACCTCTGTATGGAGCCAGGTGAGAGAACCCAGGAATCCTGGCTCCCAGCCCCCCCTGCTCTAACCACTAGACCCCACTCCCCTCCCAGAGCTGGATAGAACCCAGGAGTCCTGGCTTGCTCCCCACCTCACCCCACCCCACTTTAACTAGTAAGCGCCAGAGCATGACAGTGGGGCAGGAAAAGTACCTGTGTCCTACCCTCAGCACACAGCGCGGACCCCCCCCCCCCCCAACTAGGTTCCGTCTGCCCAGGGGCTCACATCTGTCTCCTGCTGCCCGGTGTCCCTGGCAGGGTTCTGGAGTCCTCCCTTTAAGCCGTCGGCCTCAGGCAAGGAGGAGGAAGAGAACATGGGGTCCAGCCCCGAGCCCCCCAACCCCCCGGAGAGGAGCCGCCCGGCCTGCTGCATCCGGGTGACGTCGGAGGACGGGGCACTCTGCATCATCAACCCGCTCTTCCTGTCGGAGCACAGCAGCGAGGGCTGGCTCCCCGCCGGGGTGCCGCCCCCGTTCCACCCGCCCGAGAGAGGGGGCACCATCCGGCTGAGGAACGGGCAGAGGCCCGGCCTGTTGGACAAGCCGCTGGCGCCCGCCGCCGCCGAGACGGACCAGCTGGGAGCCCCGGAGCCCGGGAAAGAGGGGGAGCAGGGCAAAGGTCAGCACCAGCGGCCTACCGGTTTGGGGGTGGAGCTGTTGGTATTGGCGGGCAGGCGGGTGCTGGGACGCAGTGGGGTTGTGGCATCTGGGTAACACGCCCGCCCTGGCTGACCATTTCCCCTCTCCCACAGGGGTCCCCCCCCATATTGCAGGTTCCTGGGGGGTGGAATTGCCCTGCACTCAGGATCGGGGGTAGGGAGGGGGGGTAAATTCCTCACCCCAGAGCCCCTAGACTAGAAGGAATTGCTCCCTTTTGCGGCGAGTCTTGTAGTAGGTTGTTATCCTGGGACTCCCGTCCTCTATGGGGCGTTGCCCCGGGCAACGCGCTCTAGGGGGCTGCCACTGGGGGAACGGAACCCCAGCCCCTCAGCGCCCCCGCTCTCCCCAGCAGGTGATGATGCCCCCCCAGCCTCCGTGAAACGGAAGCTGCTGGTGCGCCGGCCGGCCTGGAACATGTCCGAGGACTCGTCGTCCCCGCCGCCGGCCGAGCGGCAGGAGGGCCCGGCCTCCCCGCACCGGGTCTCTTGGATCGAGGGGGCCTCGGACGCCCCCTGGGCGCTGAAGAAGTCCCACTCGGAGTCCTCACTGCTGGGCCCCCGGGACAGCCTGCTCCTGCCGCCCATCCCGGAGCTGGACTCGCTGTCGGTCAGCAGCGTGGAAGAGGAGGCCGACGCCCACCCGGCCACGCCCCGCAAGAAGCACCAGTCGGCGGCGCTGCCGGGCCGGGTCCTGCACCGGCTGTCGGCCGTGGGCAGCGCCCTGACCAGCTTCCTCTCGGCCGAGCGCCGGCTGGCCAAGCGGGTCCAGGAGCTGACGCAGGAGCCGGCCTCCTATGTGGGGGGCCTGGTGCAGAACTTCGTGGGGCACGTGCTGCGGGGCGGGGCGGCCCGGCACCCCACCAGCACCGACCTGTTGCAGGAGATCCGCCAGATGATCAGCAGCCTCAAGGGCTACCTGTGTGAGAGCTCGGAGCTGCAGGACGCCTGGGAGTACGGGGACCTCGAGGAGCTGGACCTGGGTACGGGGCGGGGGGCGTCCGCTGGGTATGGGGGTTGCTGGGTGGGGGGCATCAGCTGGGAACTGGGCATTGGGCTCAAGGGGGGAGGGTGCTCTGGGAGCTGGGGAGGGGAGGCATCTGGGAGCCGGGTTTTGGGTTCAAGTTGCAGGGGGCAGTGGCTGGGAGCTGGGTATGGGGGGCCGTAGGATGGAGGGGCTGGGAGCTGGGTACGGGGGGATGGGAGGATGGGGATTGGCTGGGGATGGGGATGGGGGATTGGCTGGGAGCTGGGTACGGGGGGGGGCTGTAGGATGGGGATTGGCTGGGAGCTGGGTTCGGGGGGACGGTAGGATGGGGATTGGCTGGGAGCT